TATATATATATATATATATATATATATATATATATATATATAAACCAGAGCAATTCAACTAAACTGCTCAGTGAGCCACAGTTACTAAAAGCCAAGAGCTCAGGGGCCGGACATCCAGCAGTTAATGTCCTTAAGTAAGTTTGTTTTATGGTTTAAAATCTAGTTTTATTTAAAAATTAACCCAATGGTGGGCCAAACTAAGCTCAGGCCCACGGGACACCAATTGAATAGTCCTGCTATAAACTATAAAAAGAAAACATCCTAATTCATGTTCCATAATCCAGGTAGAAAAGTCCAACAGTTCAGTCAGGTCCTGTGGACAGTTAGAAACCATCCAGAGGACCTGACTGAACTTTGTTGGATATAAAAAGGAAAGTTTATCATGAAATACAGAAACTGAAATCCAAGCTTCTTCATGAAACAGAGCTCAGAAGAACAAAGTAGCTAAAAAATCAAGTCACCAAAAAGGCTTCAATGATCGATATGACCATGAGATTCAAAAGCTGAAAGGTGAAAATTGTAAAACAACTCACCACCACCTGTTAAAACTATCTTAAAGATCTCAACCAGCATAAGTCTTTACAGCTAAAAATAAAAATGAACAAGTTCAAGAGCAAAGTTCCTCCCATAAAATCAAAGTTTAACTGCCTTCTGACTCTTACAGTTAGCAGAAATCATGCTTTAGGATTGAATCTCACATATGATTGTGCAGCTACCCATCCAGGCTGTCACATTGTAAAGTTTGCAGATGATACAGCGGTGGTGGGATGCATCACAAACAATGATGAGTCCAGCTACAGGCAAGAGGTGGAACACCTGGAGAGCTGGTGCAGAGAGAATAACCTTCACATCAATGTGAAGAAGACAAAGGAGATGATTGTGGACTTCAGAAGGAACAAAAACACCTACACCCCCCTGAACATAAGAGGATCTGCGGTGGAAGTGGTCTTCTGCTACAAGTACTTGGGTGTACACATGAATGACAACCTCAGCTGGAGCAACAACACCACCAGCCTGATCAAGAAAGCTCATCAGAGACTCTACTTCCTCAGACGGCTGAGGCGAGCTGGTCTGGGAAGCTCAGTCCTCACCTCCTTCTACAGGTGTGCAGTGGAGAGCATCCTGTGCTCGAGCATCAATGTGTGGCATGGAGGCTGCACAGCTGCAGAAAGAAAAGCTTTGCAGAGAGTGGTGAAGGCTGCACAGAAATCTGTTGGAATCAGTCTCCCCACCATCACAGACATCTACACCTCCAGATGCAGGAAGAAGGCCACCTGCATCATGAAGGACCCCACTCACCCAGCACACACACTTTTTGCCCCACTCCCCTCAGGAAGGAGGTTAAGGAGCATTAAGTGTAGAACCACTAGACTGAGGAACAGCTTCTACCCTGAGGCTGTTAGACTCATGAATCTCTAACTAGAATAATCACTGTGAAAAACCATATCATGTTGCTGCTGATCTGTTTCATGTTGCTGCTGATCTGTTTCAATGTTGATGTGTTCATGCGTGCACATCTGCTCACAGACTCATGTTCATGTTTGTGCTGATGTTCAATGTTTTATGTTATGAGTGCTTAGTGTATATTTAGTTTATGTTTTTCTTAGTTCATATCTTAGATGTTATTACTGTTTTTCTTAGACATTTTATTGTTGGATGTAACTGGGACCCCGTGTACATAATTTCGCTCCACCACATGTACCACATGAGGTGCGAATGACAATAAAGAAACTCTGACTCTGACTCTGACTGACTCTGAATCTGCACCCTGAGGATTGGTTTGCATTTTGATATGAGGGTCAAAGGTCACGATGTAGCAGATCATGAACAGCAAGATTGGATTTTGGATATTTTTATTAAACTTTTGAAAATTTAATTTGAATGGTAAAACTGTGTCCCACAGGTCATGTGTCAAATTAAAGGTTTAACATACTAGAAAAGATGCAACAAAAGACAAAGAGAGTTTGTTTCAATTAATTTAACCAGGTTTTGATGTAAAATAAAAAGGTAAAGCAGAACTGAACATTTCCTGATGTAAGACTACAAGACAAACAAATTATTAAACACTGATTCTTGTGTCTCAGCTGAGTGCTAGTGTGAGCAAATAACTACTGATAGGAATATTTAAGAAATATACAAATGACCTTACACAGTCTGTTCAAAGTATACATTATATGATAAACTGCCTGCCATACAAACCTTTTTTCCACTACTGCTGTCTGTGAACACAGACACAAAGATCTAGCGTGATCAAAACAAACCAAATTATAGCTCAGTATCTGTAGCACTGGCTGCATAGTTAAGTGTTTTCAAAGACTGATTGGCTGTAGTGGCCATTTTGATTTACCTCAAAACGTCAATCATTTGTAGAGTCACTTTCTGAACGTTTCATTAAATCCCATTCATTTCTTTTTGACATAATTTGCTAACAGTCAGAGTCGGCCCTAAAGGTTAATGAGACAGTTTTAAGCAAAGATGTTGTGCAGTGCTCAGAGTCTGTGCCATGCATGACTCTCAGATACTACCACACCAAATTTGAGCTCAATATCTGCAAAGCTGAATTTTAGACATTTTATGGACGCTAGATTGTTTTGTTACAATGCACATTGTTTATGGCTATCAGTGGGGGGGATCAGACACACCAGTTTTCTCGAATAAGCAGAATCAGTCAACACAGACTGTGAATGGGTGTTCACGGTGAGTTTTTCTTACCTGAGCCTTCAGTTCAGCAACGTGCATCACACTTGCTTTGTAATTCAGATGATAGACGAGAGACACTTTCACTAAATCACCATTGAGTTTGGTGAAATGTCCTTTCTTTGGTTTTTCATTAAATCTAAACGTCCATTGACCTGAAGAACACACAGACGATCAGTAAACATTTTTGAATGTCCACACGTGTTTTAGCCTACAGACACACACTCCACTGACCACTGAAGCTCACGGCGTTGAGCAGGATCAGCTGTGCGCTGGGGGTCACTTCGTCAAACAAGTGCGTGATTTTGTTTTTGGTTTTGTTTGCCACCCACTGGTTTATCATCTCTGCGTTTTCTTTGCTGGATTCCCGCAGTTTGACGGGCTTTGCTTCATAGTACTTGGTGGACTGGTTTAGAAAAGACTCGCTCATATTCAATTCTGAGTAAGAGAGAAGAGAAATGACAACATCCTACAGATCTAGAAACGTTTATAGTATTTATAAAGATAGGTAAATTTTTGTTCGTCGATGCATGCTACGGGAGTTATAGTAGATCTGAGAGGCCATCTGCAGGGAGTCGGCCATCTTTTCTCTCTGCATCTTCATCTGGAAGTGAACGCACTGGAAGTCATGAGGCACACAGATCGCTCTCTCCAGGTCTCTGCGGGTGTTTCCACTTGCACCTGAAGTTACAAAGGTCAAATGTATGAAAATTAAAATGTGCACTCTGAAACACTATAGAGAGCTGCAAGGAAGCTTTAAAACACACCCTTAATAAAATTAAAATAAAACACCCAGTTCGGGCAGCACGGGGGTGAAGTTGGTAGAGCTGTGGCCTCTCAGTAAGAAGGTGATTGAATCCAATCATGGCCGGCGACCTTTTTGGGTGGAGTTTGCATGTTCTCTCCGTGCATGCGTGGGTTTTCTCCGGGTACTCCGGTTTCCTCCCACAGACCAAAAACATGCATGTTAGGCTGATTGGTAACTCTAAATTGTCTCTAGGTGTGAGTGAGAGAGTGAATGGTTGTTTGTCTCTATGTGTCCCTGTGATGGACTGGAGACATGTCCAGGTGATCTCCCCCTCCTCACGCTGGATAATGGGCACCAGTGACCCTTGCAACCCGGAAAGGGAAGAAGCGGGTAAAAGATAAAGATGGATAGTTCGCCGTATTCTTCCACTTCACTTCAAACTCACGTCCTCTACCAGAGGCCTGACTTCGGAGGTTCAGTATCTCAGCTGTTCCAAGGACTGAGCTCTTCTGGGCAGAGATCTCTGAGGTTGTTCCTGGGATTTGTTGGAGCCACTCTTCCAGTTTAGGGGTCACAACAACGAGTGCTCCATTGATCACCTGTTTGTTGGTCTGGATCTGGAAGTCCCATAGTATCTGAGTTTTTCCATTCTCCACCACACTTGGTGAAGTTTCCAACTTTGACTTTTGGATCTTTAGTCCATATTCAGCACAAATGTTCCTCTACACTATTCCAGCAACTTGATTATTGCTTTATACATAATGACAAATTGAAAACAGAATTTTAAACAGTTCTGTAAATTAATTTTAAATGAAAATTTTACAGTACTTTTTACATACTATATATTGAAAAATAAAAATAAAATGCAAAAATATTGAATTTACATACATATATAGACTATTTTGCAGGAACACTTGAAGCTCAAGTGGTTCCCTTTTGATCACAGCTGAGAGGTTTCTACTCCTTCCTTTTACTCCACCTGTGGTAACTTAAATTGACTGGACAAATGGACATGAGCTGAAAAGGTACACACCTCTCGTAGGACTCCTGACTGACAATGCTTAATGAGAATGACTATCGGCCAGTAGCCGTCACCCCGATAGTCAGTAAATGCTTTGAGAGACCAGTCATGACCCACATCAAAATAACCATCAACACCAGCAAGGTTCCACACCATTACACATATTGCGAGAATTGATCAACAGAAGACACCATCCCCCTGTGGTCCACACTGCTCTCACCCACCTGGAGCAGAAGGACTCCTACGTCCGTATGCTCTTTGTGGACTTCACATCTGCCTTCAACACCACGATCCCCCAAACCCCGATGGACAAACTATTCACACTAGGACTAAGCCCCTCCATTTGCAACTGGGGACTAGACTTCTTAACAAACAGACCACAGTCAGTGAGGATCCACAACTTCTCCTCCTCCACCATAACCCTCAGCACTGGCTCCCCTCAGGGATGTGTGTTGAGTCCCCTCCTGTTTACTCTGCTCACGTATGATTGTGCAGCTACCCATCCAGGCTGTCACATTGTAAAGTTTGCAGATGATACAGCGGTGGTGGGATGCATCACAAACAATGATGAGTCCAGCTACAGGCAGGCGGTGGAACACCTGGAGAGCTGGTGCAGGAAGAACAACCTTCACATCAGTGTGAAGGAGATGATAGTTAATTTCAGAAGGAGTAAACACACCTACCCCCCCCCCCCCCCACACACACACACACACACACACCCCGCACATAGGATGATCTGCGGTGGAAGTGGTCTCCAGCTACATGAATGACCTCAGCTGGAGCAACAACAGCCTGATCAAGAAAGCTCATCAGAGACTCTACTTCCTCAGGTGGCTGAGACGAGCTGGTCTAGGAAGCTCAGTCCTCACCTCCTTCTACAGGTGTGCAGTGGAGAGCATCCTGCACTCCAGCATCAACGTGTGGCATGGAGGCTGCACAGCTGCAGAAAGAAAAACTTTGCAGAGAGTGGTGAAGGCTACACAGAAGACTGTTGGAGTCAGTCTCCCCACCATCACAGACCTCTACACCTCCAGATGCAGGAAGAGAGCCACTGGCATCATGAAGGACCCCACTCACCAGCACACACATTTTTTGCCCCACTCCCCTCAGGAAGGAGGTTTAAGGAGCATTAAGTGCAGAACCACTAGTAAACAATTTCATTCCGCCTCATGTACCACATGTGACGCAAATGACAATAAAGAACTTTGAACCTACCGGGGGGGGACAGCCATGACGTGAACAAAGTGCTTCCAGGCTATACAAACCGAGTCTGTATTGTTGAAAGCTCCCATGAGCACAGTGTCTTCCAAAATAGGACATTGAATGAAAAAGATTTAGAACTGTAGGCTTACATGAATCTGGGCTTTATGGCACAGTCTAGCTAAAAACCTCTCCTCTGTGCTTTAGAGGAGCCTTGAGAGCCTGTTTGGAGTTGTAAAAAAAGCACCTAAAGGACTCAGACTGTGAAGAACATTACTTTCTTATCTGATGAAACCAAGAATAAACTGTGTGGTCTCATTTCTCTGCACAGAAGAAACAAAGCACTGCTCATCACCTGCCCAACACAGCGAAGCATGGTGGTGGCAACATCATGCTGTGGATGTGCTTTGAGCAGGAGGGCCTTGAAGACTGATCAGGGTTGAGGGAAAGCTGAATGGAGCAAAGCACAGAAATTACGCTAAATGAAAACCTGCTGCACAACGTCCATAACCTGAGACTGGGCTGAAGGTTCACGCTCCAACAAGAACCAAAGCAACAAACGTAGTGGCTCAGGAACTCTGTGTGAAGACAGTTGTAAACTTTAAGTAAATATTCAGAGTTTGGCAGAAAAGCCTGAGCTGTGTTTCCTACCCAACAACAAATGGGACAGAATCCCGTTGATGCTGACAGGAGAGAAGAGCAGGTTGTTGAAGGGATGCTGATCTTTGAGGTGAGAGTACAGCTTCATCGAAAACTCTGCCATGGACTCCTGCAGTACGGGTTCGGCCGTGCGTCTGTCCTCTTCCTTGCAGAACTCAGATGTTTTGTTGAAGTCGTTGCACAAAGGAGTGGGAGGATCTGAAATGACGTTAAATCATTTTGTTATAATTAATTTTGTGCAATTCATGCACCAACTCTTAGCTATGTCACTTCCTCAAAGTAAAATGTATATCTGCGGTCATTTTGATCTGTTGTTTTCACTGTAAGGTGAGTATCACACCCTTAAATTGGAGATTTTTGCTCTCGGCGAGTCTTTTCCTGCTTGAAACAAAATCAAGAATACCTTCAACAATAAGGTGAATGGTGTGGAGCCTCTCCCCCTCGATGGACTCGCAGCTGTAAACTCCAGAGTCCTCAGAGTTGGCACGTTTGACGATGATGGTCTGATCGTAGTCCTCTGGATAAAGCAGGATCAGCTTCTCATCGTGACTGGAGTCGTCTTCAAAGTTCAGCTCTTTTCTTTGGCATTCACCGATCTCTTTGAACCACAGTGCATTAGCCGAAGGTGAGATGGAGGATGGGAAGTGGCACGGCAGTTTCACATCAGAGCCTCTAGATGTTTTAATTGTGCTGTGAAGTGAGTCTGCAGGTAGAAAAGACAAATCTTTATCATCATGATCAAGGTTTTGTTTTTTATTATCAATAGGTTTAGTATGAGAGAACATCTCACCAACTTTCATGTTGTATGTTTTTATCAGCTCCACATTATCTGCTTTTGCCAGACACACGTACTCGCCCTCACTGGCAGGAGTTACAGGAGATATTGAGACATAAAGCCCTGACTTTATGACTCGAGCTGTGCCAGTTGGAGGATTAGCATTTAAAGTCTGTCCTGAAATTGTAAACACAGATGAAACTAAAGCACAAATATTATACAATAATACATATAACAATGCATGGTCTTCCATTCTTTAACCCCTGGGAATCTCTTTAATGTTCTGACGGTGTCCCTTAATGGGAAAATCGACCACCTTACTGAACCGCTTAAAAATACTTTTTAATATTTTTTCCACAAAAAAACTAGTCAGTCTTTTGTATTCCTATCTCAGCTTGAAATGAAAACATCTGATTTAAAGGAATTTTTATTTTATTTTAACTCGAGCGGTCTTTAGTTAAAAAAAAAAAAATACACATTTACATTTTTTTTAATCGACAAAATATTTATTTTATGGGATTTTTTGGGAATAAGGTATTTTCCTCCATTAGCCCAAAATACGAGCGAGCTGAAGGATCACGGTGCACCCGCTAATCATGTCTTGATTTGGGAGAAACCAACGGCAGTCAGCCGTGGAGTGTTTTATTCTTCCTTATGAGGGAGTTTTTCCTTTCCACTGTCGCCTTTAAGCTTGCTCAAGATGAGAGTTCTGTGATGAAGGTAAAGTCAAAGCAGTCTGCTCCTCACATAAATAATGTTATTAACTGACTTTTTAAATATGAATGTTTCTGTACAGTGCCCTGAGATGACTTCTGTTGTGACT